GTGTTGTTGTGTGGTGGCCAAGTGTCCTCAAGAGTATCAGGGCTGCATGCGCTTAGGATTCCCTTGGTGCTCTGTGAGTACTGCCCTTGTGTATTAGGGTTTTATTCCTTGGTGCATTGGGGAACCATTTCCGTAGGGATTTTTGCTGCTCGGCATTTACGCCACCCTTTGGGCCAGCTGGGGTTTCGTGGCCGTTGTTTGGCCTTGGGTAGGGAGTGGTATCATGCTGGTTAGGGCATCAAGGTGGTGTGCATCCTGCCTACCTATGCAGTGGCCGGTTCCTGTTTCCTCTGGGGATGTTGTACTTTTGCGGGGGTTTTCTTTTTTTTTTTTTTTGTTTTTATTGCCTGGTGGGGGTCTGCTTGGTGTGGCTATACTGTAGTTCCACTTCTAATATTTTGGTGGCCCTCTGCTAGGCCCCCGTGATTGTACACGTCGCAGGGGTTTCAGTGTTTTGATCTCCCCTTATTAGCTTTGGGTCTTAACCGGTTAGCAACACTGCCCAGGCTTCCTGTAGCAGTCAGCCTACGGGTCCTGGAAAACCCTGTCGGGGCTTGGTGGACCTATGGATGTGTCTTCTGAGTTCCAGCCCACCTCGTGCAGGTTCGAAGATTGCTGTGTGCCCTTGTCTCAGGGAGACAGTCAACTCTCTTGCCTTCATCATGCTGCCTGTTGGGTCGACGACACCTTTGACTCGGAGTTTTGCGAGTCATGTTCTCCAGTACTATTCTGATGACATTATTGTTAGGGTACAGGCAGCATCTGCAATGCATGCTAGGTTCAGGTTACTGCAACATGCTAGGTTCAGGTTGCTGCAACAAGCTAGGTTGGTTTCCCACCCGGATGCCCCGAGGCTTCCCCGCTTTCGTTATAGGGACCCGTACATGGGGGCATTAGTTGCTTCGACTTTGGTTCAGTCCACGCTCCCTTGTATCAACTCCCGCCTCTCGTATCTCCCCTAGGGAGGTTCTGGAGGCTTTTGCTGCGTACCTCCTTCGCGAGACCTGGATTCCGCCTCCGTGATGGATCTGTCCTCATTTGAGTTCGGTCCTTCTTCCCTCGTATTGGGTGCATTTAGAAGTTCCGAAGTTTTCCTGGCTGGCAGACTGCTCATTCTTTTCGTTGGGTGTGTGGTATGGGTTCTGTCAGACCCGCACGTTTGAGTGGTGAGAAACTTCTACCGTTCTGCAGGTTTACCTGGGGGGCGCGTTTTGAGTGCCTTAATGCATGCTTGTTCGCTCCCTGTGCTTTCTCGGGATGTTGGCCGTGGGCAGCTGCAAGTGCAGGTTCCTACCCTTTCGGTTCGTTGGTTGGTGAGGATTTGTACGCCCATGGGCATTTGGCTTTGGTCTTGTGCTTCTTTTCCCTTTTCGAATTGTCTTCGGCCTGGCTTGAGGAGGGTGTGGAGGCGTTGAGTGCCGGGCCTTCGTCTGGTGTGCTGTCCTTGACGGCTCGGGGGTCGACCGTGCTGTTGAAGCTGTTTATACCTATCCTGAAGAAGGTGGTGTCTCTGTTCTTTGCTTCTCACCTCGCGTTCCATCAGGGTGTGCTCACTTTCTCTTTGGAATCCGCTTAGGCTCACTCTCTTAGGTTTTTGTCGCCATTTTGTCCATTGCTGTTTGTGGAGTCTGCTGTCACGCAGTTTCTGCAGGCGACTTTGTCTAGTTGTCGTCCTATGTCGGACTTGTTAATTCTCCGGGGCTGCCGGTCTCGGTCTTCTCGGAGGGTCATGCCAGCACTCAGGGTCCAGCTGGTCGAGGTGGGACATTGAGCCAACGTTGCCTTCGGAGCCGGCGTTGTCTGGTTGGCACGATGATTGCTATGTTCATTGGCCTGCTTCTCGTAAGGGGCGTCGGCCCTTTCGGCTTCTTTTGGAGCCGGGTGCCTGGATGGTGTCTCTGGATCTCAAGGATGCGTTCCTATTCATCCAGGGTTCAGGAACTGATTAGATTTTTTGGTGGGGTGTCAGGCTTACTGCTTTCATGGCCTTCCTTTTGGCTTGAATGTGGCACCTCGCATATTCACAAGTCTTACCCAGGTCGTGGCGACCTGTCTGCATCTTCTAGGGGTTCGGGTCCTGACCTACCTCGATGACTGGCTGGTGAGGGCTCCCAGTCGGTCCGCTTGTTTGCGTGCCAGGGCTGTGGTTCTTTCCCAGGCTCGCCAGGTTCGGGTTCCTGGCGAATTTGAGGAAGTCCCATCTGGTTCCATTCCAGATTCTGACCTGTCTGGGTCTTGTTTGGGACTCTCGGACCGCTTCCATATCTCTTCCAGAGGCATTGCTAAGGCTGCGGTCCCACCTTTGGCTGTTTCTGTGGGTGTCCTGGGTCACTCGACGGTTGCTCGAGCAGTTGTTCAGTAGTTTGAACTTCGGCGTGCTGGCCTACCCCCTGGGTTGGGTTTGGCTTCGGCATCTGTCCTGGTTCCTTTGGTGATGCCCATCCCGCTTCTTTCATGATCGCTGGGTTTGTCCTCCAGGGGCCTTGTGTCGGTTGCTGCGTCGCAGGTTTCCTCTTTGGGGTTTTCGGGGTTCAGTGCCTTGGTGCCTACCCGAGCCCTCACTCGATGTGTTCATGGACACGTCATCTCTAGGCTGAAGCTTTGTGACCAGTGCTCACCAGGCCGGCTAGGGACAATGGGGGGTCCACCTTTCTGTTGGCCTCAAAGCATGGTGCAGGAGTTCGCGGCGGTTTGGCTATCGGTTCATTGCCTGAACCACAGGGTTTCCCTTCGGTCCTTGCCTCTTTGTGGCTGGTTGCTTCAAGTGGCACGTCTGCTGGCTTCTCATGGTTTGGCTCTCCCTATGTTTCATATCCAGGGAGTGACCAACATCCTAGCAGATGGCCAGTCTCGTTTCATTTCCCTGTCCACAGAATGGACGGTTGACGCCAAATCCTTCCGTTGGCTCTGCCGGATATACGGACTCCCGGACGTGGACCTCTTTGTGCAGGCATGGTCTCTGCATCTCCCGGTCTATATGACACCCTTCCTCAACTGCGAGGCTGTCGTGGTGGATGCCTTTCGGCAGGACTGGTTGAGGTGGGGTTGCCTATACTGTACCTCTTTCCCCTCGGTCCAGGTGTTGCTTCGGGTCCCTGGCTTGGTTGGAGTCCTACCAAGGGAGAATAGTTCTCGTGTCCCCTTTGTGGCCGGCCCAGCCATGGTTCCAGGTGCTGTTTTCTCAGTGTGCGAACTCGGGGCGTTTTCCTTAGCTCAGCCTCTTCCAGCAGGTCTTGGCTTTTTCAGGACCGTCATTTGATGCCTAATACTGTTGCCTTGTATCGTGCGGCTCTGGTGGAGCTGCTCCAGCTTGTGTTTGGGGTGGATATCTCTTCTGCCCCTTTCTGTAAGCTTTCTCGTGCTTTGTTTCACCTCCGGCCTGCTCATGCGCCACTTGAGCTGTCCTGATCCTTGGACAGGGTGCTCTCCTATCTTTCTTCTCCTCAGTTTGTGGTGGCCCCTTCGGTTCAAGATTGTTTTTCCAAGGCTCTGTTTCTGTTGGCATTGGCTTCTGGGGTCAGATCAGTGAGCTTCATGCTCTCCTCCAGTGCAGGAGTTTCTGCTCTTTCGGTTCTAGTGGTCGGTGTGTTTGACTGCAGCCTTCTCCTTTTGGAGGCTGCTCTTGGGCATTCCTCTGTTGCTTTGGGGTCGCAGGTTGCAGCCAGTTGTCTCGACTTCGCATTGAGGAGTATGTGGCAGCTGCCTCTCAGGTAAGTACCTCATTTCCTTGTCTTTGGTTATGTAGCTCCAGGGAGCCGTAGGGGCTCCCCACAGAAAACCAGCATTGAATGTAATGAAATGCTATTTTCTGGGTGAATCCTGAAGGCACCCTGGCAACCCTCCCTCCCTCAGTTCAGCAGTTTTTCATGTTGTTTGATGCTTTGCTTTCAAACTGGAGTGCTAGGTAGCCGGTGCGGGGAGGGGGGGGGGCTGTGTGGACGAACAACACGCTGGTGGAGTGTGACGTTTGCCTGTTTCCTTTGGATTGAAGGGAGTTCTGTCTCTCTTTGTTTTTTAGTTGTAATTTTCTTACCATGTGGGGTTTTTGTTTTGCTTACCTTTCTGGGTGCCTAACCTCAGTCGATGATAGATAAGGAAAACCACCAATCACGGGGGTTTTCCAGGGCCATTGCTTCCTTCACCTCTCTGAGGGGGCCAGGTTCTAGCTCGTGGTCCCCGGTAGGCTGAACTCCATAGACTAATACCCTGGTCTAATGTATCACATATTACCCCGATAGCTCCAGGAAGCCTCCGGGGCTCACCCAGAAAATGGCGTTTCATTACATTCAACACTGTTTTTTTTTTGGTGTGAGAAATGTATTACAAGGATATTTTATGGGCTGCAGTGTTCATTGTAAAAAAAAACAAAAAAAACTAATTATCAAGACATACAAAAATCAAGTACATACAGTAATGTAAATGAATGATAAAACATATGATGATTGCGAATAATACATGTTTTATATCTACACGTACTTATTACTGGTACACGGTGCATAATATATATTTTACTGAGTATTTTTATTCTTGGCTTTGACCAAAAGAGACATTATGATGCATTATGTATAATTTTAGTGTTTATAGTTATAAGGAGTATTGAGCATTTGCTCTGAGAAAGAAATTGTGAGTACATCATTTAGCAGTAAATTTATAAATTATTTATTTATCTTATTAAATTTCACTTGTATCTTTTTAAGTACAGATGCACATCTCATTTCTGCACAGCTTAGTAATTATATTTTAAAATGTATTTTTAATAATTTTCCTGTTTATAATTAAGCTAATAGTAAGAAGTCTGACACATACAGGCTTTTTTTTTTTTTAATTCCATTAACAAAGACCCCCCAACAGAATTGCACAGGCATGAAACCCCATTTTTGCCATCTGATAAGACATATTGGCAGACATTTTATATAATGCTGCTTCTACCCCTTACCACAAACCACCACCACCCAGCAGCTTGCCAGGTCCATTACATAGGCACGATGCTCTTTTTCTAGCGTCCCTCTCCACTAGTGCTCGTCGCAAGGGTACAGATGCTTTGCCCCACCGCCCCTCCTCCCATGATGAGGGTAGAGAGCCTAAGAAAGCCTCTAAAGCTAAGCCTCATGACCCCACTGCTTCGCCTAAGAAGGGTGAGGACAAGAGCAAAGTGGAGAAAAAACATATTAGTAAGTAGGATTGAAAAAATGCAACTTAGTAAGTAGTGTTGGTGGGAAAGCAATTTTTTTTTTATCCTTACTGCCGCACTTCGTTAATCCGATTACCACGTTCGTCTTCTGTAGGATTCTTCAGTACAGACACACACCATAGAACAAGACTGAAATAAATAGAGTGCATGTTGCGAGAGGAAATACCCCTGAATTTTTTAATTTACATAAAAAATGGATTACTGTCAAAATTATACCAATATTACCTTATTGCCTGAACTGCCAGACATGAAAATGTGTCGGATAAACGAGGGTCGGATTAAAGAGTGTCCTGTAGTGAGTAGACCCCATGCTCGCCAGTGTGTTGGTTTATTGTCCACCTCTCAGCCTTCCATGTGTTTCCCTCAACCTTCATTTTGATTTTGCTCCTTGCCAGAGGGTATAGGGAAATTGCTGTGGTATTTGTATGTATATTAATATGGTATACTGTATAAAAAGTGTCATGTAGTGAAAAGATGTACAAACTACTACACATTTTGATGAATAATGTTGAAATGTAAAGATTCTATATGAATGTTTATACAAAAATCAAAGTATGAACTAAAATCTTAAGTCATTGTATATAAGTTGCTAATAAAATCCTTGTATCACATGACTTACACCTATATTTTAAAAATAGTTTTTGATGCACGTTTAAAACTAAAATTATAGATTTACACAAGTGATGTCATATATGTGCAGCAGTTGGAACATAAGGAAATCTTACTTACGAACTTCTTGTCAAAAGTTCAAGCTATTCATACAAGCAAACCTTCATTGTAGATTTCCCTCAACCCTGGCAGTATCAGAGAATGCAGACCTATTCTTTGGGTAGCTACAGGCATCCTATATTTCTTAATTGAATTTTTTACTGTCATTTTCAATTGAAGTAATAACTAATCACTGTTTGTCTTGTGTGGTTGTCTTCATATTTCTTCAGTTGAAGTGTATTTGTTCATGGATGATTTGTAATGATGTTAAAAGCTTCATATGAATGCATTCCCTCATGTATTGGAATCTTTAATTTAAGATGAATTGTGCTCCCATGTGAAATTAGTGCAACTCAAAAATTTATGAACGGATTCTCTAGTAAGATGGAATTGTGGTAATTGGAAACTTAGTTTTGCACATCAAGCTTTATGTTGTAGACACACACACATACTAACACACACACACATACAGTCATGTTTGTTTGTGGCTCTTATATCCTCCTCCTCCTCCTCCTCCTCTTCTGGGTGAGTGGCCTTGGTTTGTTGCTTTGAACATGACTATACTGTACCTTCTGAAACTTCACTTTTGTCTTTTTATTGCATTTCTTACGTTTATTTGGGCATTTGTTTATGTTAACTTATTTGTAGTTTATGCTGTTTTTTATTTAGACTTTTTAAGATAATGGTGAAGGTTTGTACTACATTAAAGTTCTTAGTAATATTTAATTTTAACATACTTTTATGTATCGGAATGTAGCCTACTTAATTTTCATGTAAATGCAAATTGCAAATAAATTTGTCAGTTTTATTATAAATAACAAATACAGCAAAGGTTGTGCATTTTTATAAGAGGAATGACATAGTTCTTTAAGTAGATGAGACTTGCACGTTGGTTTATCAACAAACTAGAAGGATTGCATAGATATAATTGCATTGCATTCACCATAAAGATCTTGGGGAATATATCTTTTTTTGGTCTATGCCATAATATGTGACATCTCAACAGGTGAAGAAACTGACTCTAAGAAAGATAAAGAAAAGGAAATCCTACCCAAAGATGGGCCCAAGGATATCCTGAAGGATATTGCACCAAAGGATGGTTCCAAAGAGCCCGTGGAAGCTGTCAAGGAATCTACTGCCAGGAAGTCCACTCCAGAGCCTCGATTTGACCCAGAGAAGTATGAACCTGTGGTAAAAACACCACCTGAACCTACTCGGGTCAAGTCACCTGATCAGGTTGGTAAATGGGTATGTTTTCTCTGGACTTTTACACTCTATTCTGTTATTTGGTAGTAAAGAGTTGAAGTTTGCAAAGTTCTAATGTAGTTTAATTGTGGATTTGGCTTTTAGACATATGAAATTCTACATTTTAGAATTACAAATACTTTTGTTAATTCAAGATTTGTTTCAGTGTAATTTGATTTAGTTGGTCTTAATGTATACACTTAGCAATTAATTGTTATTTATTAGGTAACAAGAACAGAAATGGTGAGGTTTATTTTTATTTTTCTCCTCCCTTTCCTCATACCCTTTTCAGTGTGGAGTTGAGCAGGTTAATGTGCATGGTAGCTGTCGAGCATGTATTTACTGGGTATTGCAACCTTCAAGTGGAAATTAGAACGGAGTTTTTAGTGGTTATTTTTAATGATCAGCTTGCTGCATTCTGTCAAGTTTATTTCCTTATTCTTAGCTGATCTCTGATATAGTCATGCAACACGACAAAAATCCATTAATCAGATTGATGTTTGACTTTTAACTGTGATCTTGAAAAGAGCTTGTGTACATTTTTGAAGAGCATTAATATTTTTTTGCCAAGTTTGAATATGATCCATTCAAGATTGTAAAAAATTTGTTTATGACTTTTTCTGAGTTTAATACTACTGATGTTCCCACAAGACAGCTGGGGACAGCACCACTAGCCCAAAACTAGTCAAAGGATCTAATCAAAGTCTAATCAAAAGCTTTTCAGTGCATGAGTAAGCTTGAGTGTAATTTTTTTGTTATATTTTGAATAACGTTTAGATATGCAAATTGCTCTATAAATAGTCTGTGTATGGTTTAAGGTATTTGTTAATGTAAACAAAAAAAAATGAGAAGTATGATGTTAAAAAAAGCTACAGTTTACAAATTCTAAAAGATGCAAAAAAAAAAAAGGCTACAAATTCATTGAAGAATATTTTGTTATAACATATCTAGTTTATTTCATATGCTTTATACCTGGATAGCAGACTATTTTTAAACTAATGCCAAAATTCATGTCATACAAGTTGCAAATGCTTGGGTAGTAAGTTGCAATGCTTAGGTAGAAAGATATACCCAGTACCGGTATTATATCATTTGCCAGGGATCTTGAACATTGAACTGGTGAGCTTCGGAGACATTTCCATAGTTATCATTGTGAAAGTTTATAAATTAAATTCATGATACTCATACTAGTTTGTACATATAGACAGCAGAAGACTTTTTTTAAGGTAGACTTTACCTAAATATGTCATCAGTCTGATAATTTGGGTCTCATACTCTATAATCTTTTGCGGTAGTAATTGCCTATTTATTGTTACAGTAAAATGACATGCTTGTCGTGTCCCATCTTCCTTGTATATTTTCTCAAATATTTTTTAAGCTACTGGTGGTTTCTGGGATTGGCCCCAAAGTAGCTCCCTGTAGCCAAGCGCTGGCCAAGCGGTGCCTTAATTAGTTGCCTCAGACTTCTGAAAACCACTCTTGCCTCCCAGGAGTCAGGACCACAATTTTGGGGATCAAGGATTTATCTAAAACCAAAAACAAACACTACCAGAAAGTATCACAAGTGCAGCAAAACAAGCAACTGTATGAAGAAAGTTAATTACTGAGGGGTAACAAAGCAAGAACTGTTGCCATTTTGCAGAAATACTTATCTTGTTGCATTTGCTTGTCACAAGGTGGCAGCCCAGATCACCTGGTGTTCATGTCAGCCTGCATCCTCCCCACCCTCACATGGAGGAATGGAACAGGGAGCTACTGAGGTCCACACCAGAAAAGGATTGCTTGATTGCTGGGAAGGGCCTCTCAGTAGTACTCCATAGCTACCTTGCGGTGGAACTTTGTCAGAAAAGGCAAGCATTTCTGAAAGAAAACAAGTTAATAAAACAAAAATGTAGCCAGGGTTTACTAATGGAAGAATACAGGAGAAGAAAAGAAATGCTCAGGGCAGAAAAGCATGAGCAGAGCACCACAAGTATGCTGAGGTTGAGAAACATTCAACAAATTGTGCAAAACCAACAAGCCCAGATATTAGTTGTGTACATACTGCTGTTATGCTGCTAAATTTCTACTATTTCTTTGAGACTGATGCAATTCATTTTGGAGAGGCACAGCCTGTGGAGGGAAAGGGGGTTAGGACAACAAGCCTGAAGGGTCAAAAACCAGGACTGGACCAGCCACATGGAAGCTAGAAGGGATATGGCCCATGGCCCACAAAGGCCTCTAACCAGCCATGCACAGGTGAAAAGCAGCTGGGCCAAAGGGGAAAGGTACAGGTAGAACCAATGACTGAAGTCCAGGTAAACACATCCACTGCAAAATCTTTCTAATCTATCAATGTTGACCCATGCAATGCAGCTGCCAGTTCTTTATAGAGGCACTTATATAATTACTCCATTGAAATCAGACGGAAGCAAGAATCACAGTTTGTAAGAATGTTTGATTCCTTGAATATGAATTGTATTGAAGACTAAACCATAAGACGTCAGAAGGAAGACTATCTGCATAATCCACCCTCACGGGGAATGGAACAAACCAAACCCTCCTTAAGGCAATGGACCACCACAGTGCAATACGAGTGAAGACATAGAGTAGATCAAAGTGGAAGACATGTGCTGAAGAGCCATCTAGACTGCTGCAAACTCCAACAACATGATGTGTGTGTCCACCGGAGGAAAAGGAATCACTATCTCTAAAATTAATATAATTCACTGGGGGACAAAGGCCCAGCCAGGGCCTAACACATCTGTGATAATTGTCATGCCCTTCAAGAAGACCTGGACAAAATAAGTGTATGGAGCACCACTTGGAAAATGGAATTCAATGTTAATAAATGCCATGTTATGGAATGTGGAATAGGAAAACATAGACCCCACACAACCTATAAATTATGTGAGAAATCTTTAAAGAATTCTGATAAAAAAAAGAGATGTAGAGGTGGCTCTAGATAGAAAACTATCACCTGAGGACCACATAAAGAACATCGTGCGAGGAGCCTATGCTACGCTTTCTAACTTCAAAATTGCTTTTAAACACATGGATGGCAAAATACAAAAGAAATTGTTCACAACTTTTGTTAGACCAAAGCTGGAATATGCAGTGGTTATATAGTGCCCATATCTTAACACTTTCGCTCGGGGATGACGCAGCATTGCGTCATCCGTTTACTGGCGGTAATGCCGGGGATGACGCAGCATTGCGTCATCCACTTTAAAAATTCGCCAAAAATCAGGTTTGTATCCGATTTTTTGGGGACTGGTTTTAAAATGTGCGCCGATGTCTTCCCATTTCCTTTGTTGAGCCTCGTGGCCCTCAGGCGGCTTGGCACACGCCGTGGGCCCATTGTCTTTGCTCCACTGTTGTGACCAATGTCGTCTCCCCTCGCATCTCAAACGTGTGAACATTTCGGCTATTTTCCGTGGCTATATTTCTTACTGCGGCTTTAGAAACTATCTACGCTTACTCCACGATGGATAGTAATCATGAACAAGGCCCTTCCAGGAAGAAAATTGCGAAAGAAAGGCTTGAAAAGGGTGGGAATTGGGAGTGTAGTAGGAAGGCCTCTGAGCGCTCACTCACGGCTAACGCGTGGCCCGTCTTCAACTCGTCGGCGGTTGGAGCGTGACCAGGTGTTTTTTTTTATATGCTAATGTTCCTCTAGAGAATTTTATTACGAACCCATTGAGACCAAAATGAAAGACCTAGGACAAAAATTGAGGTGACCAGAGTGAAAATAGTGAAAACATTTTATCCCGTTTGCGCGCTCCCGGGTAACTCGTTCGCACTTTCTCTGTTTGCTGCGGGTAATTAGCCGGGCTTTTGGAGTTTATATGCATTTAGTGCTGTAGAGAATTTTATTGCGAACACAATGATACCAAATTTATTCTCGTAGAAGGAGAATTGAGGTGACAAAGTTGAAGAGAGTATACACTTTTCGGAATTAACGCGCGCTTCCGGGACACGCTGGGGCCCATATCGCCCTGTCGAGGGGTGGCGCGCGGGGTGAGCGAAAGTGTTAAGAAGCACATCAACAAACTGGAAAAGGTGCAAAGACATGCTACTAAGTGGCTCCCTGAACTGAAGGACAAGAGCTACAAGGAGAGGTTAGAGGCATTAAATATGCCAAAACTAGAAGATAGAAGAAAAAGAGGCGAGATGATCACTACTTACAAAATAATAACGGGAATTGATAAAATTGACAGGGAAGAATTCCTGAGACCTGGAACTTCAAGAACAAGATGTCATAGATTTAAGATAAGTAAACAAAGCTGCCAAAGTAATATAAGAAAATTCACTTTCGCAAACAAAGTGGTAGACGGTTGGAACAAGTGAGAAGGTGGTGGAGGCCAAAACAGTCAGTAATTTCAAAATGTTATATGACAAAGAGTGCTGGGAAGACGGGACACCACGAGCATAGTTCTCACCCCTGTAACTACACTTGGGTAATTACACACACATACTGTCTATGCTCGCTTATCTGGAGTGTTTGGGAAGGACCCCCTTCTTCACCGGATAAGCCACACATCCAGATAAGCAGAATTCTTATAGGAAAGTCCAAAAAGACCATATTTGCAATTTTTTGTACCACAACCTACATAATTTGAATTTTCACACATAAATCAAAAATATAATTTAAAAGAGAAATTTCAGCCTACCTTGTTGTAGTTTGTCTTCTTGTTTGATATTGTAGGTCTTGAAATGTGTAGTTCTTGAAAATTTATCTAACCTAATCTCCAAATACATTCATACACATGAACATTCTGATGGTCATTCAGGGCTGGAGTGAGAAGGTCTAGGCTAAAGTTTTCAATGTCTTGTGGAGAACATTGTCACTAGCGTACATTTCCTAAGGATGTACGCTAGTGATCAATGCAAAGGAGCATTTCAGCTGCACTCGGTACATTATTTTATGCTAAAGTTTTACTGTTGGTAGCATTCTATAACTTAAATTTTCCACTTTTAAGGTTTTATTGTGGTGTTATTTTATTTCAATCATAAACCATAAAAAACAAATTGAGTTTTTGGTTGAATAAATGAGGAAAAAACAAGGTACTTATTATTTTAACTTTTGTTTCTAGGTTATGGTTAAAAGCCCAGATCCAGTAAATTGGACAGTTCCTCTAGACACTGGCAAGACCTTTACTGTGACGCACAATATTCCTGAAGGTATGAGCTTTCCTGTAATCTTTGCTGTACATATTGCCTATAATAGTGTGTGACTCTTGAGCCATCTGACAGTATGTTATTGTCAGTGGAGTTAGTTGCTTTGGGCCTTATGATTCTGACCAGTGCTTCTCTTGAGGCAATTAATGTGCCAAATTTTTTGGGTGACTGAAACTGCTGCTTATGTCATAATTTTTGTTATAATTATTTAAAGCATGATATAGTACTGTAAATGAAATGAAAATATTCTCAGTAGATATCGTGTGTGTTATTATAACACTTTTGTTTGTAACAGTAGTGTTATGTTGCAATTATAACATTTATTATTGAGGATTTCAATGAGTTTTGTTTAATTGCAAGTAAAACTTTTCAGGCTTTGGACTGATAAATGGAGACTTCCGTAATGTTAATTTTAAAGGCAAATTTGACCAGTGAGGTGCCCAGAGCTTGCAATAATTATAATAAAGCTATCAAACTATTACTGATGAATTTTATGATAATTTGAAACAAAAATAGAAAACTGATTTAAATTTTTGTTATCACACTGCAGAAGCTAAACAAATTATACCAACCATATAGACATATACAGGCTATATTCATTTATTAATGTGGTCTACCATGGGGAGCCGGTCGGCCGAGCGGACAGCACGTTGGACTTGTGATCCTGCGGTCCCGGGTTCGATCCCAGGCGCCGGCGAGAAGCAATGGGCAGAGTGTCTTTCACCCTATGCCCCTGTTACCTAGCAGTAAAATAGGTACTTGGGTGTTAGTCAGCTGCCACTGGCTGCTTCTTGGGGGTGGAGGCCTGGTCGAGGACTGGGCCGCGGGGACACTAAAAAAACCCAAAATCATCTCAAGATAACCTCAAGATAACCATATAGACATATACAGGCTATATTCATTTATTAACTTGGTCTACCATACACGCTCAAATGTTATAGACTAAACATCAGTAGCTGTTGTTGTTCCTTGCCACACTTGAAATTGAAATTGAAATAAGTTTATTGAGGTAAAATACACACAAAGGGATGAGGTAGCTCAAGCTATTCTCACCCCATTCAGTACAACGTGTTAATATACACATAGACACACATCACAAATAAACATATTACCAAACATTCTGAGAGGTAAAAATATACATTTCCTCCCTCACAAGTAGTATGGTATCAGACGTACACACAAACACTTAATCCTGTTCTGCCTCTTCCTGTTTTTTTTTTATTACTTTGCTTGTTGGATATATCCTATACTAGAGCCCTCGAGTGTTGACGGTGATTTTTTTTTTTTTTTACTAAAAGACTGTAGAGCAATATAGAGTACAGTGTAATAGTTTAAGATGATATGCATGGGGATTTTTTTTTTTTGTTTTTTAACAAAAATAAACTGTAATGTATTCTACCCTTAATTTGGAGACTGACAGCATTTCAGTGTCCTAACTAAAATATCTGAAACTTTTTTAAGACCTAAAAAAATAGACTAAGTAATTTGGTACCTGGCAGTAATTGTTACAAAGTCATATAATGTCATTATAAATATAACTAATAAGAATATTTTAATTTAGTGAGATGTTGGGGGGGGGGGGGTAGGGGATATTGTGTGCTTGTATTGTACAATCAGGCCTATAATTTAGTGAAACACCCTTTTTTTGGTTGGCCATTTAGTAGCTTCTGAGTTTTAGCACTAAAACTCCCAAGCCTAACAAAATCACACCAGGTCTTCAAGACGTCCAAATCTACCGGAAGCCAGGAATAAAATTGGGTTTTCTCTGAGGTGAGGAAAGCTTGGGGCTCAAAGATCAACCCAAAACTGAGAAAAAACTCAGCCAAAATTATAAGCACATACAAACAAGCAACTACTTGAAAGAATACAATTAATCCTAAGGAAAACAAGACAGTCATTGCTGTATGATCAACACCCAGCTGTAAAGTGCCTAACTGCCATCAGATGGCAGCTCAGATCACTGTGTTTCCTGCCAGCCAGCACCTCATTCACTTGCCAGCAACTTGAACCATCAGACAGGCTCGCAAGCTGGATAACGAAAGCATTAGTGATGAAGCAAGTTCCTAGCGCCAACTTAGATTACATGGGGAAAAAAAAAAAAGTGCAAGCAGCCACATATTGCCGAAATCCATGTACGTGATCCAAGGGTGCCCATTGTCAAGTGCAAGGCACCTAACACCCACAGAAGCACACAGCCCAAAAGCTCACTTTCCATCAACAGACTTTGTTGGGGAGAAAAATGTCTCATGCATTCCTTGAAGTAAGATGACTTGAGTGGAGGCAATTCATAGGGAAGGAAAACCACAACCCTGTAGAGCAGGTATCTCTGGTGGCATACAGGAATTTGCAAGCCAAACCTGGGGACGGTAACTATGGTCATTATTAGTGCTAAATGAAATACTAGGGGCAAATATTCAAAGGAAAACCATACCTACTTAGCCTAAGGTGAGAAGCAGGTGATGGGCCCAGTAGGGATTACAAGTGCTGGACTGACGACCTGATCTGCCATCATTTAGTGACGAGGCTGGATTCATATCTTTAGATATGATTGTTTGCCTTATTTACCTAAGTGTGCCTGATTTCATCATAGCATTTGTTCTTCATGTTGTGTATGATTTCTGGTGGATTTTTTCCCAGTTTTATGGTTCAACTCTGATCCCACATCTCATATAATAAGTCAGATTTTAATCCTGGCTCTTGGTAGGCGACGGATCCAGTATGGATCTCAATCCCCCATGGCACAGTGGTAACACACTCGCCCTCCACTGACCTGGGTTCATATCCTGGCCGGGAGGGATTGACTAGGCGCCAATCCATAACTGTACTCCTCTGTTCACCCAGCAGTGAATGGGTGCCTGGTTGTTAAACAGTTTGATGGGTCATATTCTGGGGAAAATTAGGATTAAGGACCTACCCGAAATGCTATGCATGCTAGTGGCCTTAAAAGAATGTAAGAACTCTTGTATATATATATATAATAATAATAATAATGATAATAATAAAAAGAGACCCAGTGCATTGGCTAAATCTTAGTGCTGCCAGAGATATGCTCAAAGAATAACTGAAGGGGTCTCACCCCAAAAATGGCATAAATTTTGTTTTTAATATAAGAATTTTTGTGTGTTTCAAAATACAGTACAGATTTTTCAGTCTACACATACAACATTCAGTATTTAATTTTCTAGATTACAGTGCTTCTTTACTGTTAGCTATTATTAAATATGAAGATTATATAACTTAACGCTCACAAATCACAGTGTGATATATCTATGAGAACATTTTCTAACACCAGAAGTCTTTGCATTCTTTGACCTATAATATTTAATATATTTAATCTGTGCAGCAGTTTCCATCACTTTATTTTTGTGATGCTTAATTGGTTTTCTCTTTATAACAACCTGTCATATATATTGTGTAAATATCCAGCTCTTGCTCATGTGAATATTGTTTGTATGAAACATATTGCCTTTGGTTCAGCGTACAGAGACAGCTTCAGAATTATACTGCCCAGCATATCAGTATGTTGTTAAAGCATAGACTCAAGTAATTTGTAACTGGGGTAATAAACTTGAATTAATAACTTTGTACATAAAAATTAGTGATTCATTCATACTGAATAATTAAATGTAATAATGATTGAAGTCAGTCAGTATTATAAGAATGTCTGTTTAAAGACAATAGTTTTAGGGGTCTAGTTTAGATTTTCTAGGTCTTCAATTCTGTTAATTTGAGAAATATTTATTTTGACTTATAAAATATTTTTTATAACATGAACAATGTTTTGTTTAGCTCTATGTGATGCATCAGGTCTCAGATTGACAATCATATATATATATAAATATACAGTATATATAAAAAGTAGATTTTTTATTTTTAATTTTTAATTAAGAACTAGGAAAACTAAATACAGTATTGTATATAGATTAGGCATACCCCAGTTCTGAAGAGCCCATTAGTCACTTATGCATGGTATCTTCCCAACAAGAAAGTGTCGAAATCAGTGAATACAAGTCCTAGAATACTAGTGATATGTGGCTCATCTTTCACTGAAGTTTGCAAATAAAAAAATTGTCTTAGCTGCCAGAAATAGATTTTACCATATGTATGTAGATGCAAAATTGCCATCTGCATATGACGTGGTTAGCTTGGTATTTTCTATGACTGTTAATCCCTGAGCGTCACACCAATACCTGCATGTATAACTCTAGGTTTTTGTTTTTCGTCGTAGCCACTCACTGTTTGAGAATACCAAGAGGTACGTTAGGGAGACCTAGCTGCCATGAAGACCTGTTAGGACCATTAGGGGTCATGTGCAGTGACCATTCTTGAGCTCATCTTAGCATATATTTAAAATCATAGTTAGGCATCGTTTTCATATTATATAAACAGCTAAAGTATGTCTAGTGTAGTCATCATGTTATTGGAGCTCTTAGCTAAAGTAGTTAAACTTAAGAATCTATTACACAGATAAATACTTTTGTGAAGCAAATTTTGGCAATATTTTTTTCTGTTCTTGTAATTTCTTATTCTTGCAGCTTTTGTATTATGTAATTACAGTACACTTATGATAGCACATTGAATACCCATTTTGCAATAAGTCACTAATAAACAATTTCTGTATATAAATATTTGCTAAGCTGACCTCAAGTGATATTTAAGGATTCCCGACTGAAGTCTGTAATGTCTGAAAAAGTTTATAATTCAATGGGATATAGAATGAATATCCATTGCCCTACCTCATATGCCAACTGTTGCAGCTCGTATATTTATTTGATAAGCTGACAGCATAATTAGCCTTGTAAGCATTAACTAAATATTAATATCTACATACACATCTTTTACTGTATATCACTTTGAACCTGTCAACTTATATCAAACATATTGATGGTAAAAATAATTTATATCAGTTTGACTTTCATACGAAAGAGTTTAACATAAAAAATATAACATTAAGAGAATAGAGATCTCCTTTTTCTGAAGAGTCCCACAGTTGTTTCTTAGCC